TTTTCCTGCCACTTGGCCATTGACTGGTTGTATCTTTTCCCCAGCCAGTTTTTCTTGTTGTTTTAATGCAATGCATTTATCTTTTAGGTCACAACTGGGATCTCTATCATACACTCTGAGAACCTGATGTTAAACGAATGGATAGAAGAGACTTTTAACCTCTCTTCATTGATGCAACTTTTAAATAACCGCTAATAGAACAGAGCTGTAGTGTCTAAAACTTTAGCACACTGGCTATAACTACATGTAAATATGGTATAAATATGATGGTAGCATGCCCTATGCGTTACCCTCAAGGCAAGGGTTAACTAGGCTCAATAAGCCACTATTATGCTTTGACAATTGATCATCTAAAACATTGCTTTGTCATCAGTTTCTAAGCACAGGTTTGACTCAACTTACTCTTGGTGAAGATTCTTACTTAGGCCCTAAGTTAATTTTATCTAGATTGCAGAGAAACCCAGATTTATTGCATAAATAAAATAACATGCTCGGTCTGTGTTGAAATTTTACAAGTTTTACATCTGAATAAAGGTGTATTTCTTCCAAATATTAGTCTATTACTGCTCTTATTAATTTGCACTATTACTGTTTCTTTTTAAGTGAACATTAGTTACACAAATCCAGCATCATGGGGTATCAATAAAATTATTTTGTACAGATCTGCAGAAACTGTAACATTATTTAACTATCAATAGGTGATCATTATCGTTTTAGTTTTTGATCCAGAAATGTTGAACAATAAAAGGCTTTTGGGGTTAAAAATGGAGTTGAACATAATTTAAATATTGTGCCTTTATGCTTTATAAGCCTAAAAATTTATAAGTCTAAATTTTTAGGTTCCCAGTTAGCAAAGGTCATAGAAACAAAGACAAAATAATAGGATTAGAAGGTTATTATTGAACTGCCACATTACACACATTCCTTGTGGATTAGCACTGATAGTAGTCATACCCTCAAACTAACAACAACTTTTTCTACAAAATGTGAAGCACAGTCTGTTCCTTTGCAAATTAAATAACCTAAGTTGATATATATTTTGGCCTATCTCCTGCATCTTCCACTTTTATTTATGAAAATATAGCACTTTCGCACCTAACTGAGTATTTTATTATATTAAGCTGGGGATTTTTTCAAAGGTTAATGGAAGTGCTTACCTCATCAGAATGGAGTCCAGTAGACCAAGCTTCATAAACACAGGGACAATATGCTGTGTCTAGTAACTTTCCAGAGTTTATACTGTGGGTATCTCCTATTTTAAAATCAGATTTTTTTTATACTAGTTTTATGCATTTCTATTTTTGTATTTGTTGAGGTAAAGTGGAAGTTGGAAGACAGGTGAACAGAAGAGGGAAAGAAATGATTCACAGCAACCATGAGTTTCCATTTGAAACAAAAATAAAAATCAGACATCTTACATCCACTGAAAAGAAGACATTGTCTTGAATTGTAATGTTGGTGTCCTACACTATCAAAACAAGTCAAGAAAAGTATTGAATTATTTTTTTATCATGTTCCCAGTCTGGATAAAATGTAAAAAAAATAAAAAGTATCATTTAATATGCAAAAATAACTGTGATGATAACTTTGTGTTCCAAAATGTAAAAATTGTCCACTTTATTGCTTTCTCTCAAATCTGATTTTTACACTCAGTGTCTGGATAAAAAAGCTTAATTTTTTATTATTATTATTATTATTATTATTTTTGCAAATAAAAGCTTCCAATAATGTGGTGCATACATTAGCCTGATTTGACAGAGCTAAATGATATAGATTTTCAACAGATTTGAGCCAGATGCATTAAAAATCTTTGAAGTATTTGTTTACTACATTTTTTTTTATAAATTTGAGTTCAGTGTTATCAAATGGTATCCAAATATATTGGAGAATTTTAAAATCTGAGTCTGTAATAAAATTTGGATCATAAAACAACTACTTGTGCTAAAATGGTACAGAAAAAGAGCATTTAAATTAATAGTCTTGTGTGCATTGATAGGCCTATAGCCTAAGACTGTGATGAATCTTTATTATTTTTTCATCACAGTAAATGCAGTGATGAAAATCTGCATTTTCCATCACTGCATTGTGATGAAATTCAAAGTTTTTAGATCAGAGCCCCCTTAAAATCCAAGCTCTATCTTCTCCATTTTATACTTCTGTGGGGCTACCTCAGAAAGTTCAACTCACGTCCCATTGCACTGATCTGGGTGGGTGTTCAGACCCTCCCATACAGCTGTTACAGCGTCATGCCCAGAAAATGTAAAGACTGAGGTACTTGTCAAAAGTGCATGGCAATGTAGCAAGGAGGATAAAAGCTGGAATTTGTTATTTTTAAGGCGTCCAGTGGAAGGCTGTTGTACACTGCTGCATACGTTGTGACCCATCCACGTCTCGCCGACCTTCACTATCAGTCAGGGTTGTATTTAGGAGGGCAATAGACCGGCTGCTCAAGCCTGCACCAAACTTCACACAGGGATTCAGCATAACTCTCTCTGTGGGGCCGAGGCTTTGCTTTGTAATAAATGACACCTTTCTGCCAGCCATTGCCTCATCAGAAGAGGTCAGAGGATGAGATGGAGACCGGGGGTTGGAAAGTGGGGGGGTTGTTTCAGGGAAAGAACACTGTGTGCCAGAAAATGCAGCACTGGCTTCCTCCTGCTGAGCACAAACAGCCTCTGAATGGTTGGTGAGACCATGCAGTCTGGAGGTTCTGATTGGTTTCAGAGTCAGTGAGGAGGAGGAGGGGCTGAGGGTCATCCCCTCACAAAGAAAGACAGTATTTCTAAATATAAATCATAGCAAAATCTATAGCAAATAGATGTATTTTAATACTTGCATTTGGTTCTCAACTGCTTCTAAAAACAACCTTAGAACCCCACAATTAAACAAATAAATTAACTTTTTTTTTTGGTGTCTAGAAAATGAGCTGTTTCGTAAATCTCCCGACTGTTGTCACAATCAACAGGCAACACCAGCTGTGTCACCTACCAACCCAAGCAAAGCTCCAGCATTATTTGGTCAGCAAGCTGTACAGATGTGTGCTCTGTACAATGGCTGCTGGAAAAGACTTTGTTGTTGTTACCATCCAGAAACCACTTAGTGCATTCTTGTTGGTTGTGCAGGGCGCTATCCTTCTGCTTTTCAAAGATGTGTGGTTGTATAATTGCACATCTGTTTGCAGCCATTTTCACGTGTGATGGTAAACTTTGAGTTGGGGCTGGGGGGTGTGGCCAGTAGAAGCTTATTTGGATTGAAAGTGACAGGAGGCCCCAAAACAGTTCCTTTGAAAGGAAGGCAGAACAGAGCAGGCTGAAATCTCATTATCTCAGAATGAGTTTGTGATCAAAAAGACCATGTTTTGTATGACTAATACACTTATCCGAACATGATCAAGGATGCATAATAGAGCACCTTTAAAGTTAACTTTTGCTCTAAATTACTTTTTTGCACTAAAATAACAATCTAGAGAGTTATTAATAATTATTGGGATACATTGGTGTAAACTTTTTCTGCATAGGAAGGTTTTTTTTTTTTCTTTCTTTTTCTAACTGGCCCAATTGGCCTTCATTCATTAACCAACAAAATTCTTTAATTTCCATATTGGATTTTATGTTTGGATACAACCAAGATCATGTTCGTACAACTAATCAAACTCCTTCATTTGTTTTAAATAAGTCATAGTGAATAAAACTATTCCATGGCAACAGGAGGCACCAGCGTGCGTCATATCTCGTTTGTAGACTTTATTTTGTTTGAAAAGCTTGATGGAGGCAGGAAGTTGTAACCACCATTCTATCATGCATCAGCATCCGTTAAGCATCAGTTCCTGCAAACTTCCCTTTGTTTAGTTTGGGTTTAAACACAGCTTGTGGCTGACCTAAAAAATTGACAATAAAAAACGATTGCTTATTAGTTTTTTCAGTTTTTTCCACTCGCTGAAATGCTTCTTTCTTGCTTTATAGCTCACAGAACCGACAGACTTACAAACAGGAATAACTCCATGCTGTAATTCACGTTGTTTAATTAGCTGTTAGCTTCTCTTTATGGAAGATAATCATAGCTGACCTGCGAGGAGTTTGAGCAGGACAGCTTATGTTTCAGCTTTTATATTGAACCTCTTAACTGACTGATATTAGAGATGAGTGAACCCCTCACCTATGTGGTAATGTTTAAAGGGCAGTTTTAGATTTTGTTTCCCTGGAAGTCTTTCATGCTTTATTTAAACACGGTGAGCATTTTCAGCTGCCAATGCTTCATTTTGTGTGCCTTAATTAATTCACCTGCCATCAATTATAATGTCGCTTTGTTTTTTTCTTTTTCTGTTCAAAGGAGGGACACAGTAAAGAAAGAAAATGTAAAATTGTGTCTGTGTTTTCCTTTCTCCATGTCATGGTTTCCCCCAGTGTATTATTAGACTGGTGGGCCACCAGGCTTTACTCCTCCCTCCCCAATCCTTCAGCCCCCACCAAGCTAACCTTCATATGTTTATTTTAAATATGTTTTTTTTATACACCAGTTAGAGTGATGGTGAAGCCAGATTAAGCTAGGTTTAAAATTGACACATTGAAATGGGCATGAGAGGGTGCACACCATTTGTGCTGTCCCTGCACCTGCCTGTTTTTCATTATTCCCAAATTGTGATGCCTGCTCTGAGTTTTTGTTTATTTTAACATTTTTTTTTAACACAAAAACAAACTGCAAGGATGCTGGAACACTGAGTTCCTTTTAAATCAAGGCACCTGTTTAGAGCTGTGATTGGTCAGTAGAAAGAGGACATTGATCAACATCTTTGATATTTACTTAATAATTTTGATGATTGCATTTGACAAAAAGTAATTCTTATTGCTTATTTCATAATTGTTTACTGTATTGTTTTGGCCTGCCTCGTTGTTGAAATGTATCATACAAATAAACTCAACTTGACATGTTCTTGCAGAAAAGGTTTTTCTTAATAATTAAATATTCCCCCCTCTCTCTGTACTTTTTTTTTTTTACATCAGAGTGTCCTGAAAAGTGTGGAAGGCGAGCGTGCACAGCTGACGGTGAGTGCTGCCATCCTCAGTGTCTGGGCAGCTGCTCACTTCCAGGCGACGACACTGCATGCGCCGCATGTGTGCATTACTACCACAATGGCAGATGTGTGGCTGACTGCCCTCCAGGCACATACAGGTTCGAGGGCTGGCGTTGCATCAGTGCTGATTTTTGCTCTAAAGTGCACCTCCCAGACTTCGACATCTTCGTCATCCACGGAGGAGAATGTATGCCTGACTGTCCATCTGGATATACGCGATCCACACCTGACAGGTAAACTGAAGTTAAACCCACAGCACAGTTTTTCACAATTTTTTTTTTTGTGGATTTTAAGTGTATGTAGTAAAGAACACAAAGTAAAATCTTTTACACTTTTAGTCACTCTGTTACTTAATACTCTGTACCAAAAAATATATTTTGTTGCGATTTCAGCTACAAGGTTTCCTCTTTGCCAACTTTATGAATCTACTAGCTAATTTATTTTTACCTGTTCTTCATAATCTAGCCAAAACTAAATATTTTTGAAAGGGACACTATGGGCTATAATGTTCCCTAAAAGAGTTTTTCTTCACGTTAGTTGCCTAAGTTTTGAGAGTTTGTGATCTTCTGTGAAGTCGGAACAAAAAGTCTTACCAAAGTGTATAGTGATGGTGTGCCTTTATCACCTTTCACTTTTTACCCGTCTGTATAACCCTCAGCATGTCGTGCACCGCCTGCGATGGCCTGTGCGATAAAGTTTGTGATGGGAAGGTCATCGACTCTGTGGATGCTGCTCAGTCTCTCAAAGGCTGCACTGTTATCAAGGGTGACCTGCAAATCACCATCCGCAGAGGCCGTAAGTACTGCAGCACCACACTTTATTTATTTTTACTTTAAGGGTTGATGTAAAAGTTTTTATTGAGTTTAAACAACATACATCAATGAGATTTTCTAATTTTCAGTATAGGAAAGTTAGCTGAGAAACTGGGAATCCTTTTTGAACCAATTTATGCATCACAAAAAAGCTCTCTTTATTCTTGTGAAGTTTTGAGGGAAGAATAGTTTTAGTTTCTTGAATTGTTCTGCTAATAAGCTGCTACTAGATTCACCTGAAATAACAGAACAGAATTAGAAGCAAGTATGGTTTGTTCAATGACTTAAGTCTGAGATGCACATCCAGTCTGTTAATAATGTCCTAAAACGTCTGTGTGTTTTCAGATAACATGGTGGCAGAGCTGGAGAGTTTCACAGGTTTGATCCAGAGGGTGACTGGTCATGTCCGGATCAGACATTCACACACCCTGAGCTCACTGGCATTCCTCCGAAGTCTGAGATACATTGATGGAGAAAGCCTTCATGAAGAGTAGGATCACTCAACGCACACTTAATCAAACCAGCAGAACTTTGATTTTTATCCAATAGCCTACTTTTCTCCTTTATTTGTTGGGAGTGGTCTAATTTATATCAGCTTTTCGGTTACTCTATTATACCGTACACAACTCTAGCACTTTCAATATACAAACATAAATAAGAAACTGACATCGTATAAAAAAAAAACTGTTAGGATTCTAGGATTCCTTAATTTGATTTAATGTACATCTTACTAGATGTCCTGAACAATTATGCATAGAGTCTTCAGCCATTTTGTGGAAGACAGCCACAAGTGGAAACCAGAATACCTTTTCTTACATTCTCCTGTAAATAGCATATCCTGAATATGGTAGAGACTCAAGTGAGGTCCACAAGTGGTACAGAGATGGTCCAGCTGCAGAAACTAATGAATTTATAATTCAAGTTACAAGATTTCCACTGAAAGCAGTAATCCAACTATACTTACTGAAACTGTCATATTGCAGTTTTGCTAAATACGACCTGACAAGCTTTTCTTTAAATATTTTTCTACTTTCCGTGGAACAAACTAGAATAATTATCTTGATCATCTGATTTTTAATGGCATACTCCGTGATTGGGCACAACGTTTTCACCGCTCACCTAATAGTATTTTGCTCCCCCCCTTTTTCTATAAAAACAAACCTGACCTGTCAAGACATAGACTCCACTAGACCCCTGATGGTAAGCTGTGGTATCTGGCACCAAGATGTTAGCAAGCAAATCCTTTAATTCCTGTAAGTTGTTAGGTGGCTTCTCCTTCGACCTGTTTGTCCAGGATATTCCACAGATGCTTGATTGGATTAAGATCTGGGAAAGTTGAAGGAAAAGTCAAAGTATTGTGCTTCTCAAAGCATTCCTAACCCATTTTGTTTTCTCTTTGGCTACTGAAAAAGCAAAAAGCCATTTGAAAATACAATTTTCACGAAATGAAACAATATTTGAAATAATTCATACAGCCAATAATTATTTTTGGATTCTGACTAGTATTTAGTAATTGATTATTCTTATGATTAAGCGCATTTAACCTTTTATTATATTAGAAATAACTAGCGATGCAAATAACCAAATAATTCAATTCCTTTTTTAAATAAGAAAACAAACTTTTTCATTGCCTAAAATGCAGCGACATAGTGAATTTGAACTAGGCAGAGTTAAAACTATGCCACTTGAGGAGCATTGTTTTATTTACAAAGAAGTTTTCATCTTAAATGCATTTATATCCTCCACAGCTTGATCAAAATATGTGTGTGAGAATATATATATATATATATATATATATATATATATATATATATATATATATATATATATATATATATATATATATATGTATATATATATATGTATATGTTTATAGATAGATAGATAGATAGATAGATAGATAGATAGATAGATAGATAGATAGATAGATAGATAGATAGATAGATAGATAGATAGATAGATATAGTTTTGGATTAGGTGTTGCTCTGAATATGTTTTATGAGCCTACTGTAACCTTTTTTTTTGAGCCTGTATAGTACAGTCATCTAATAGTCTATTACTCAATTAGTTGACGATTATTTCAAGTCTATTCATTATGATTAATTTGAATAGTAATTTTAGCCCTGATCCTGATTTATATCCTGCACAGCTTGATCAAAATACTGACATTTTTCAGAAGAAAATATAAGAGAGGAACACAAACCGAAATACAAAACAATGTTTTTGAATCTGATGATGTGGCTGTGGTTTCTCATTTTAAACTCAGGAGAAAACTGGAGAAAATATGGAGCAATCGTGACATTGCCAAGAACTGGTTGTTCTTTAGAAATTCAAACAATAAGAAAAAAACGGCAACATTAGAGATGTAGTACATGTGACGGCACTGGGTTCGGGACTAGAGAGGGAAGACGGAAGCCTTTAATTACAAATAAAAATATCAAAGCCATTATAAATTGTGCAAAAATAATTTTAGGGTCTCTCAAATGCTTGTAGATTATATTGTGGTCTGAGTAAATCAAGGTTGAACCTTTTGGCCATAATTCCATTTAGCAGAAACACAGCAGCAGACTTAGAGAAGCATCATGTTTAAGACACTTTTTCTTAAGCTGGATTTGTCTTTACCCAGGAGAATCTCTGACTTGTTTAGTCATCACAGTTTGATCCAAACTCACTCAAATCCTTAACTTCTCTGCTTTTAGGACAAAGTTTGAAGGCAGAATTTTCACTTGTTCTAACATTCAACAATCAAGTGTTTTGAGTGTGTCATTCACTTTGCATAGTGGTAGTCATATTGTTTTGCCTGACTGTACAGTCTACACAGTCCTTGAATGCAGCATAATCTCCAGCAGTGCCTGGAAAGGTTCTTAAGGTCGTGGTGAGGCCTTCACCCCTCCTTCATCTGTTTGTCTTTTGAGTTCACTGGAGTCTAACTGTCCCAAGGTCTACATTACACTCATTCCTTGATGTTTGGATGTTACCCAGTGATTCATAAATTCCTGTCTGGTTTAATAAAATGACTTACTAGGTAATTTTCTCTGTTTGCAATAAACTTCCAACTTAAGAAAAAATCTCTATTTGAAGAGTTAAAAAAAGAAAAAAGGAGAGGGTTTGCTTTCAGTCTGGCATGATACATTAAAAACACAAATTTAGAGTGAAGCACCATATTACTGACTTGCATTCCCTGTCTTGTTTATCTGGTTTGCCCCTCCAGCACGTATGCCTTCTCAGCATTTGACAACCAGCAGCTCCAGTATCTTTGGGACTGGAAGCAGCACAACCTGACCATAAAAGCAGGCAAGCTGTTCTTCCGAGCCAACCCGAAGCTGTGTATGTCCGAGATCCGCAAGATGTGGGAAAAGACGGGCGTCCAGGGCCACTTTGAAGAGAGAGACTTCCGAAACAATGGCGACAGAGCCAGCTGTAAGAGTCAAAACGAACCTCTGTCCAAAAACCACAAACATTTAAATTGCTATGTCCAGTTTACTCTAGTTTAGGAGCAGTTTGCAAACACCTCCTATGTACTCATTCCCCCTCTGCAGGATTTAGAGTGACATACTCTTTGCAAGACTAATTGCAGCTTACTTTTTATTAAAGTGCTACAGGTGAGCTTGCTTTACTATTTGCTGCCCTCTTAGGTGAAAGCACCATTCTGCGGTTTACATCCAACACCACCAGCGACAAGAGGATCAAGCTGACATGGCAGCGCTACCGACCTCCTGATTACAGAGACCTCATCAGCTTTATAGTCTACTACAAGGAAGCGTGAGTTACTCACTGCTGTTTTAATCCAACTTAAAGTACGATTCGGTGGAGGAAGAAAATGTTGAACAAACCCGCTTTGATTTAGTGCTAGAGCAAATGTTTCATTCTTCTCTGGATATGTTGAATTTCTGCCACTTTGGGCAATTAACTGAAGATTATGAATTGACTGATCTTCTTTGCAGGCCGTTCCAGAACATCACAGAGTTTGAAGGGCAGGATGGTTGCGGTTCCAACAGCTGGAACATGGTGGATGTGGAACTGAGGCCGGATAAAGAAAAAGACCCCGGGGTTCTTCTTTCCGGCCTGAAACCCTGGACGCAATACGCCATCTTTGTTAAAGCTATCACCCTCATGGTGGAAGACAAACACATGCCCGGCGCCAAGAGCAAAGTGGTCTACATCCGCACCAGCCCTGCTGGTAGGAACAATGATTTCATACCTTTTTATACCCAATCATTAGGTTTTAGTCATTTTTGTTAAAATATGTGTCACTTACAATTGGAGCCAAATTCATGCCTTAATGAAAGACATTAATTACAAAATTTTTAAAAAATAAAAATTATAATACCTAAAGCATTGGCACTGCACTGAAACACTATTTTTGTACTCACTGCCTTCAGTTCATCTTCATCGGTGTCTCAGATTTTTTACTACAGTTTCCCTCCACTTATCTTTCCATACCATGGCCATGACATCTCAACATAGAAACTTCCTTGTTATTGTTCTAGTGCAACCAGGTGATTTGTGAGATGCTGTATTTCACTTTTTTTGTTATCTATAAGCCATATCATTAAAATATATACTCTTTATTATATTCTAATTTACTGAGATGCATATATTTTCTGTTATTCCACCCTCTGTATGGCACACCAGTGTAATTGGATACCCTCTCATTTCTTATAGGCTTCATTTCTTTCATTTTCTTTGAGTGATTACTGCCCTCTGGTGACTCCCAGACTGCACTACAACCTAATCTTGAGCCATTTTCATGTCAATTAACACCCAGAGAGTGTAGTTATGACAATAGGCAGCTAACAGTCCTAATCACATAATTGTGATGCAGTAAAGCCGAGCCTGAAACTGAATCTACCTGGGATTAGATGTAACAGTGCAACAAATCATCACAACTTGCAGATCAGCCCATTTCTGAAAAAAAAAAAAACCTTCTGCAGGAGGATTTTTTTTCAGGTTCTCACCTGGCATAAACAGAAGGTTCTCACCTGAAAAAAAAAACTCCTGCAGAAGGTAAACAGATATTCTTTTTGCATGGGATATTTTTTAGAGACATTACAACTTCTTGTCAGAAACTTATTCAAACACATTTTCGGAGATGAGTGAAGGATCTTTGAAATAAACACAGCTGCAACTCAAAGGCAGTGAGCAGCATATTGATTTACAGAACTGTAATTCAATTAGATGAGACGGAGGACTGCATAAAATAAATCCAGCTGCAGTGTAAAGACATAGCAGTGCTGTGATGTCAGAAAAACACAGCTGCCCTGGCAGCCTGAATGAGAGCGCTTTCCCTGCGGTTCCTCAAGTTGTGCTTTTCTTCTTTCAGCGCCCTCCATGCCTCAGGATGTGCGGGCCTACTCTAACTCCTCCACGCAGCTGATGGTCCGCTGGTCGCCCCCTGTCTCACCCAACGGAAATCAGACTTACTACTGGGTGAAGTGGCAGCAACAAGCTGAAGACAAGGAACTGTACCAGCATAACTACTGCTCTAAAGGTAGCTGTTTACTATAAGGCTTTCTGCTGAATGCAACTCGATGAGACACTCATTCTTCTCTCTCCTTCCATCAGAGCTAAAGATCCCAATTAGGATTGCTGCCACTGGAGACAAAGAAGAGGATACAAAACCCACTAAACCAGATCCTGATGGAGGAGATAAGGGTCCTTGCTGCCCCTGCCCCAAATCGCCAGAAGCCCTGGAGGCTGAAGCTGCTGATGCCTCTTACCGAAAAGTCTTTGAAAACTTCCTACACAACACCATTTTTACACCGAGGTAACCTACTTATCTTGTGATGTGACTGTAGAGCGGTTTTAACTTGATTTATGTTTTACTGTTCTGGAATAAATTTTGGCTCCTGTCAGAGTTCAGGATTGCAGCATCCACTTTGAACCAGAAACATCTGCAACACATTATTGCTCCCAGTCTCCAGATACAAACATATACACGTCTCAGTCCAGTTGATGTAAATTAGCTCTCCGTATGCTTAGCATAAACAGTCGGAAGAGTTGGATGTGTCTACTTCTGAAGATCAACATCAGGTGACTGAAGATGCATTTTCCTGTTTAGTTCTTCTCAAGCAAACCGTGTGTTCCAGCTATGGAAATCAGATCATCTCTGGTTTTTAGTTATTTATTTGATTTTTTATTGTTTTATTTTTTTGTTGTTGATTTTTTTCAATTTTTTAAAGTTTTTTCTTGTGGAGAAAAACTAATGGGATTGCAGTTTCCCAACTACTTAAAAACAATAATCCTGCAGCCTTTTTTCATAGATAATGATAAAAAACACTAATAATTTCTAACCTATTTAACCAAATAACATAAAGTAAACCAGGCTTGCTACAGACGCAGCACTCAGAGATTTTTTGGCAGATTTCCAATCACCAATTTTTATGACGGGCACAACAACTTCTCATTTCTGGATGAATTGAAAAGTCATCCATCTTTATGATAAAATGTTTACAGTAAAACAACAAAACAATAAAACTTTCTCCAAATATAATGCCTCTCTGCATTGATCAAAGTTTGAAAAATTAAGCAGGCAGAGAGAGTAATCACATAAAAAAATTATTTATTTTACCAGGAGCTTATGACTCACTACTCTTTTCTGTTTTTGCACACAAAATATAAAGATTCAATCTATTACAAGACATTAATTTTTCTTTCTGCTTCATTCATTTGCTATAACTCAGCTTTTAGCAGCTGTTCTATTGTATGTCATTAAAGGGGCGGTGTTCTGTATCTTCCAGGCACACAGTGCCATTGTATATAGCATTGCATATAACAAAATTACCTATAAAGCATTTGATATATAAATGCTTTATATATTAAATATGACTTGAAAGAAATTTGACTTTGCATCGGTCTGCAACTGACATCTTCAAATGGGTAGTAGCACATAGCCACCTAGGTAAATGTCACTCTTGCCATCATTAAACGTAAACTGTGCTTTTCTTCTCCATTATTTCCATCTCCAGGCCTCCAGATCGGCGTCGCAGAGATCTTTTTGGCATCGCCAACTCCACCCGTTCGCGCCGCTTCCATCTTTACGCCAATAGCACTGCAATTCCCCCCCCTCAGGGCGCTGGGAACGGCAGCATCCCTGACCCAGAGCCAACCGAACAAGAGTACGAGGTCATGGATGACAAGGTGACCAACCATGAGCTGCAGATAACTGGCTTGGAGCCTTTCAGAGTTTACCGCATCGACATACATGCCTGCAACAGGCAGGTTCAGCAGTGCAGTGCAGCCGAGTTCGTCTTCTCCAGGACCAAGCCAGCAGGTCAGAACTGAACAGTTGTGAACACCATGACAGTTTCTGAGTGGAACTTTTGTGCTGGTTTAGTTCTGCTGGAATACTAAGACATGGTCAAATCAAGATTATCCTCTGCATTTCATTCTCCAGAAAAGGCTGATGACATCCCAGGCCCAGTGAGCTGGGAGGGCCATGAGGACTGGGTGTTTCTGCGCTGGCCAGAGCCCAGGCAGCCCAATGGTCTCATCCTCATGTACGAGATCAAGTTCAAACTGGCTGCAGAGGTATGTGAACATCTCTGAAGGTGTCTGACAATTTAGTAAACAGCTTGTTTCTGTGCATTCATGGTTTATTAAAATTTCATGTCAAAAAGTATTTATACCACACTTCAAAATCAATAGAAACATTTGTATCTGTATTTCAGCTTTTAAACTGTTTTTCTACATCTCCACACATATTGTTATAGATTTTTTTTTATATCTGGTGTTGAGCTTCTCTTTCTTCAGGTCTTTCTCCATCAGATTGAAGTTGAGTCACAGGCCAGACTGCTCCTTTGAATGAATAAAACGTTCTGTCAGAAGAAAAATGTTATTATTATACTGTTTTAAACTGTGCTTTCATTTCTGTTTGTGTCTCTCAGGCCGAGAAGCATGAGTGTGTTTCTAGACAGCTCTATCGCAGCCAGCAAGGCGTTCGTCTGACCAACCTCAGCCCTGGAAACTACTCCGTCAGGGTGAGAGCCACATCACTGGCTGGCAATGGCTCTTGGACCCCCACCCTGAATCTCTATGTTTCTGAAAGTAAGAAAGTTTTGTTTTTTTGTTGCTTTCAAAAATAAATACATAAGAGACCTTACCAGTCAGTTTAATCAAAATGTTCATGTCAACAGGTTCTGAAAGCATCTTCGCTATGATCTTTGTTCCAATCTTGACCATCGTCCTAATCTGCGCTTTGGTGTTGGTGCTGGTGGTCTTCAACAGGAAAAGGTGTGTGCAAATTATTTTAGATATGACAAGTCAAAATTTGTTTGTTTTTCCCAATGGTATGCAGTCCTTTGTGGCAAAAACAAAGAAAAAATATTGTAGTTGAGTCAGGCCAGACTGAAGCCAAAGGAATTTCTCCTTTGGCTTCATTTTGTGGTTGTAGCTTTAGATTTTGTTTTACTTCTGTTTTCAATAACCGCACATTCAATATTTTTCTTTGTCAAGAAAAGGTCATTTCATTCATTGCTTTTAAATCATATTCATATCCCTGAAAGTTCTGCATGTCACACTTCTCAGATTTTTCATTGTATAACAATTTGGAAACTGTATATCTCTCACAGTTATGCCCTACCTTATGTTAATCTAACGTAGGTCTGTCACAATAACAAATTTTGCCATACAATTAATTGTCCCAGACATTATTGTGGTAAGTAATAATGTTTTCTGACCATTTTCAAGTAGTAAAATACAAAAATGGCATAGTAATGCAAGTAAAGCTCTTCAAAGATCAATATCTGATAACATCTGATAAACATTTAACACAGGGGCTGGAATTTTAAATATCAAAAATAAACAAAATAATTAAAGCATCAAATAAAAATGGATACTGAAGTCTTCGTACCTGCGATGGACTGGTGACCTGTCCAGGGTGTCCCCTGTCTGGAGTTGGGCACCAGCACCCCTCACTAACGTAATAGGATGATGGAGGGAGGGAGGGAGAGATGGAAAGATGGAAGGAAGTTTTTGTAAACAAACTATCCTTCAAAAAAGGGGCTAGTTGAGACAAATGCACCAGGCTGAAGACTTTTGTCATTTAGGTTTTCATCACTTCAATTCAAATGGAAATGTTCAAGATCGTTTAAATTATTCATGTGATTTGATTGATTTATTGCTTATTGCGACAGACCTAATCTAGAGCATCAAATCTCAATACAATACATTGTTTGTCATTACAAACTATGAAAGTCTTTAAAAAAGATGTACACTTTTTAAAGGCACTGTATCTTAGTAGAATAGGAGATAACTTGTGAATTTCTAAAACCAACTCGCTGTTTTCTCCCAGGAACAGCGATCGGCTCGGGAATGGAGTCCTGTATGCCTCTGTCAACCCCGAGTACTTCAGCGCAGCAGAAAGTAAGTGAAGTTTGTGTGCTGGATGTCTATCATTGTAGACTTTTGCTAATGAAAAACGATTTTCTTTAAAGTGTATGTCCCAGACGAGTGGGAGGTGGCCCGGGAGAAGATCTCCCTCTGCCGGGAGCTCGGCCAGGGGTCGTTCGGGATGGTATACGAGGGCGTGGCCAAAGGTGTGGTCAAAGATGAGCCGGAGATCCTTGTCGCTGTAAAGACTGTAAACGAGTCAGCCAGCATGAGGGAGCGGATTGAATTTCTCAACGAAGCTTCTGTTATGAAGGAGTTTAATTGCCATCATGTGGTATGTACAAACAAAACCTTAGGATACTGTAGAGATGTTAGGGAAGTGAGTTTGAAATTGCAACTTGTTTTGGGATTTTTGTGCAGGTGCGCCTTCTTGGTGTGGTTTCCCAAGGCCAGCCCACCCTGGTCATTATGGAGCTAATGACGAGAGGAGACCTGAAGAGTTATCTGCGCTCCCTGCGTCCCAAAGAGGTACCACAGCTGCACAGAAATATCGATTCTGTTTCATTCAGAAAGAGTGCTGTAGATTGTTTTTATTCAACAAAATCATTCAGTAAAGCGAGAGCCAATCCACGTCAATAATTGAGTGATTTCAGTTTGTACAAACAGCCTGCAGGTAATTTGGTCCAGACATCTTTACCACAGACTCTGGAAGGATTTGGATTGTCATAACAGCATTTCTTTTTGCAATCCCACATTGCTTCCATAATGTTTCAATAAGCTTTGCATGAAACACTCTTTTTGTCACGTAGTACTCTCTCAACCTGTTGATATTTTTGAATGCATGTTTAAATTCCTGCTGCTGTGTCCCTGAATGGATTACGATTAAGCTGGATTCTACCATTAAAGATTCTTTTAACCCTCTGATGGATTTTCCACTTGTTTCTTGTCTGCAGCAACAAGTTTCCAGCCTGTCTCTCCCGCCGCTGAAAAAAATGCTTCAGATGGCGGGACAGATCGCCGACGGCATGGCTTACCTTAATGCCAACAAGTTTGTCCATCGAGATCTGGCCGCAAGAAACTGCATGGTGGCTGAAGACTTCACCGTAAAGATCGGAGGTACGTCCATGCTCAGGAGTCACAAATGCACTGACGCATGCTTGTTGAATGTAAATAAAATTGTGAGAAATATATATGAAGTAGCTATGCAAGCTATCGATTCACGGTTAATTGATAAGCGGCCATTCCCTTAAAAACCTGAATTTCCTCTTCAATCAGGAGGGTTCACTCTTTCCATAACATGAAGGGCAAAATTTTTCATAAAATCCTGAATTAAACAAGATCCTTAAATTTTAACACTTTGCTTCAGCTTTATTGTATACTGACTGAATAAACAGAAAATTGTAAATTTATATACACATACAAAGCAGGAACTTCTGCTCCGTCATCCAGCTCAGCTACATAAGGTGAAACTAAAGGAACTTGCTGTCGAGTGTTTATATTTCTAAGCAGAAGCACATGAAGAGAACGCTCCATCATGCACTGAACTTGGACTGTTTTTCTGGCATGGCCCTGCCATCTATGTTTTTGTATCTGGCTCTGCTTAATAAATTGCGCCCTCTTCTGTACAGTGGCCAAACAACAACACAAAAAGAATATCTAAGTGGGTGCTATTAAGTAATTGATTGGAACTAATTTTAACAGAATAACCATAATCGACAATCATAAGTAAACTGATTGTTTGTATCCCGTGTTTGAAACTTTTATATCATCGTCATCAACACGTGCTCATCCACATCCAGTTCTTGCATCTATTATGTGTCTGAGCTGAAGCTTTCAGGTTTATTTATTCTGTGAGAGATCTGCGTAACCTCTTAAGTCTGAAAGCATCTAGACCACTGTAGTTACTACTTCAATTTTAAAAGCTTTTGAGGTTTTAAATGTCTGTAAAACTTGCATGGAATCTTCTCCAAAGGATTATGGTTAATTCAACACTATTTCTAGGACTATAATCTTGACTAAAGAATGTCTTCCTGTCCTAAATGGAACCACTCGACAGACAGTAATTACAGCAAGAATGCAAACGGAAATTTGCTCAATATTTACTCGTTAAAATTCTGGTTCTCTGATGCCTTAGGATTTTTCAGTTGGATGTAATCTTCCTCTTTTTGCTGAAGTGTGTCCTCTCCAATTTCTCTGCAGACTTTGGCATGACCAGAGACATCTATGAGACCGATTACTATCGCAAAGGTGGTAAAGGTCTGCTCCCTGTCCGCTGGATGTCACCCGAGTCCCTGAAGGACGGCGTTTTCACCACCAACTCAGACGTCTGGTGAGCAGGCGCACGCAAACACACATGGAGTCCTTGTTCTCTGCACTCCATTCTGCAGAAGAAATCCTTTGGATTTCGTAATGAAAGACGGACTCACCAACCTTCACACCCCTTTCTACTGTTTTCCTCCGTGCAGGTCATTCGGGGTTGTTTTGTGGGAGATAGCCACTCTGGCAGAGCAGCCTTACCAGGGTCTGTCCAACGAGCAAGTCCTTCGCTTTGTAATGGAGGGAGGACTGCTGGAGAAACCACAGAACTGTCCAGACATGCTGTAAGACACCACACACACATACACCACCCTGCACAATTGCCTATTATCCTCCCATATACTTGTCTCTCTGTTTACCATGTTTCCTTTTACTCTGCCGTCTAATTATAAGTGACTACCAGCTACTCCCACCATGCAGCAGTGCCACTTGTGGCCTGTGAGATTTCTAAACAGCAGCGCTCACTGCAGTCTGTTTTACATTGTGCGTTTTTGTGTGCTTTGAAGCGTTTGTCTCTAATATAAAACAGGCCAAATATGATTCCACATCAAACAACGTGCAAGCATGACAGACACCAGTAAGAAAATTCCAAAGACACAAAGTCATAAACTTGTTTTCTCCTGCATGAAGCAGTTTAGAATAATGGTTGATGTCTTACTATTTAAATGTCATGTAGTTTGGTGACTTGATTTGGACAAGAAGTGCCTCCTCGATTGGATAAAAAACAGAATAAATCAGTTGTAAACAAATAAGTCAGTTCTTTATTGAATTCCCATAACTTTTCTGTGATGCATATGAGGATTCCGACACAAAGAAATGAGATGAGAAATGTTAAGAATCTTATGGGGTTATGCTTTGGTATAAGTTTTACCAATAAGCAAACACTTCATCTTTTATCACATTAGCATCAAATTATTATTAGCAGCAAGACTTTGAAACAAATTGAGCAAATGAATGTTTGTATTTTGAAGAGAGACAGAACAGACTGAGCTGCTCACGATAGAAAGAGAAAACTCTTTCAAAACTTTTTTTCTCATTAACTCAACCTTGGCCTTGTAATTTTAAGATGTTCTTCTGGTAAAATTACATTTGTATTCTATCTATATTATGACTGTATTCTTGTAATTAGGCAAAAATTCTTGAAACCGGGCCTTAGTCATCCATTGTACAACTCACAGAAGAGATGGCTGTTTTGAAAGTATTTTCTGTCATTTGTAAATTTGTTTTTAGAAAATAAAGTGAGGATAAAAAGTGATTAAAATTGGAAAACAAATCTGATATGAAAAAATTTGAGATTTAGTTACAAAGTCATATTGCCCAGCTATAGCTTCTGTGACATAGCACAGCTTTTCTCTGAGAGATTACTGCATTTTCATATGTTGCTTGTAATTATGTTATAACCAATATTCCTTTGTGTGCAGATTCGAGCTGATGCGTATGTGTTGGCAGTACAACCCTAAAATGCGTCCCTCCTTCGTTGAGATCATAGGCAGCATCAAGGATGAGCTGGACCCGTCTTTCAAAGAGGTTAGTTTCTACTACAGTCCTGACAATAAGCCCGCCGAAGCTCCACAGCTCCACCTGGATAAACTGGACCACTCCACGGATGCTCCCCTGGAACCTTCTTCGCAGCAGCAGAGTCCCCCATCTCCAGGTTCAGAGGGGGCACCTGCCCCGTCACAAGCGCCCAGCTCCCCGTCCTCTCCCTGCACGTCGAGCGCAGTCATGGACAAGCAGCCTTCGAGCCAGCAGGCGGCCAACGGACTCTCTGGGACTGGCCTTTCCGCGAGCTCGGGACCCACAGTGCGGCCAAACCTGGACGAATTGCCGCCTTACGCACACATGAACGGAGGACGCAAAAACGAGCGCGCCATGCCTCTTCCACAGTCGTCTGCCTGCTGATTGGGCAGAAACACGAACACCGTTCACCCACGGACCCGAAGAACCACATGTCTGACTGAGTGATTTTCTTTTTTCTTTCTTTGTTTGAATCACAGTGAAATCTTCTCAACAGGATATGGATGTGGATATTTTGAGACTTGCATAAAGATGGAAAAAACTTTAAAAGAGTTAATGTCCTGCTGTATGGCCGCACACTTTTTTTCTCTTTTTTTTTTATCTTAAATAATCTAGTCTGAATTTCTACCAGCTGGCTGTTATTTGTGACACCGCTCCTGCTGCTGAGTGGAAAGACCAAAAAGAAGAAAAAAAAAGAAAAAAAAATCTTCAGTAAAATAAGAAATTATAAAAAAAAATATTTTGAGGGTAGTTATTTCACTCTCTCTGTGGCTAAACTTATTTTATAAATTGTTATTTGTTACTTTTTGATGTTTCTGAATGAGGAAACAAAACGTGTAGGCCTTTATAAATAATCAGCGTTGTTTGTGTGCTTTTGAGCGGGCATTATGGTGGAAACATTAAGCATATCTAAAGATTAACAAGCTCCATAACGAGGTTGCCAGTTGGTCGTTTCTGAATCCGGCTGCTGTGAGGGTCGAACGTCAGCATAATGCCGGGTCAAAAGCCAATCCGCTGAAACAAACAATTGGAGAACAGTCAGCTCTACCAAATCTGTTGCCAAACTCTTCTGCTTTCACATTTTCTTATCCTGTTGCTCCTCAAAATGCAGTCGCGAAAATGGAAGGAGAAAACAAACAAAAGCACTTTGATCTTCCACCACATCATTCATTTAGAAGCCAGGCGGGCGTCAACTTTCCTCAACCGTCCTGCTCGGTTTTTCTTGTGCTGACTGTGATCTGCAGTTTCGCCACTCCGTCAGATCCCTGCGCAGACTTCAGTCCCGTCAGTTTACCTGAAATCGCCAGCTGCCACAAAGTGCTGTTACGTTGGGGTTTAACAGTGAATCGCGTAGCAAAATATATACGACAAAACACACACAAAACAGGAAAGAACTGCAGAGGACGAGCAGTCAAGAGGAGAACATGAACGCCAGATCTGTTCATTTGAGTTTTCCCCAAGGTCAGAGGCATCCTTGTTGTACACAAACAGGTATTTTTTTACACTTGTAAATACTTGCCAACATTTACATCTCTACATGTGCAGAGCATTTATGTACAAACCAGTTGTTTTTTCACTTTTCTAACTTTTATAAGGTCAAAACTTTCATCATGTACAGAAAGAAGCTGCTATTCCTTGTTTCTCTTGTGTGATTATATATATATATATATATATATATATATATATATATATATATATATATATATATATATATATATATATATATAGAGGGAGTGAGAGAGACTTCTTCAGGTTGGTTTTCAGCTCAGAACATTTTCACTCCAGTTTCTTTTTTTTATGCTTGTCATTGTTTTATTGTTTATGAAGATATTTTCTTTCTGTAATTGAATAAGAGGTATAATAACTTGCCTTGCATTAAAGACCTGTATCTTCTTTGCATCCCTCTAGAGGGCATCCATGTTTTCTTGTGCTTTCACCATCAGATTCACAAGCCTGGTGTCCCAAATAAAATCTCAGGTGAAAGAGAAAAGCTAAATCCTTTTCTGCTCCCCTATTTTTTTCTTTTTCCTTTTTTGTGCTGCTGTTATCCAGAGACATCCTACCTTGTGCTTGTAATTCTATGTCAGTTTGTTTTGTCAGTATGAAAGCGATGTTTATGGCCACAGTATGTAACAAGATGTTTCTTGGTCTCAATCTTGTGATTTGTCCTTGGTCAAGTTGTTTGCCACCAAAACACTGACAAAAAGTAGGAAAACCATCAAAAGTTTTAAAATATAGTACAATATTGTGAGCAAAGTTATCTGAATTTGGCAAAGAAAAATATCCTTTTTGGAGGAATGTATTCAGACTCTCTTCAAGTAGGCACATTTATAATTTGTGCAGAAAGTAGCTGCGTTCTATTTCATCAAGCAGCATTTATTCAAACTCTTGAGACTTTCATCAGAACTAGCTTTTACCAAACTAAACATCCTTAAAATGCATTGATACGTAGTCTGGATCAGCAAAAGGTTTTTATGTCACTGACTGAGAAGCAACTGGATTGCACTTCAGTGTATGTATATATCCAACATTTCTAATTCTGAAATGTGCATTTTCAGGAACCCTAGACATAGATTGGACTTCTTTTGACATAAAACTAGCAATTTTGTGTTAATTTCAGCAGTGGATAAATTGCAGCCAGCAAGAAATAGCTTACAAACTAAATGTAAGCCGTAAAAGCACCTTGTAAATTCCTCCTGTTGTGGTAAAAGTTGCTCACATATTAGTACAAAATGGATATTTCATCTTATTTCAAAAGCAAGAGGTTTAATATTAAGAGCATTTTTCTTTTCCTGGAGCTAATTGGGCTAACTGAGTAGCTTTTTAAGCCCTGTTTATAGACACAAAGATTCACTTTAGTTCACTTTGTTTAAACATGTGAAACAGTTCAATTACTATTTAGTGTTTCACAGTGAAACATCTCTGTTCTTAATGGGTTATCTCTGATTTCTCTGATTTGTCAGAAGTTATAAAGAAGCTAGAAAATGATGACAGATAGCGAGCAGATAAACAGAATGTGCACCAAACAATTACATTTTCTAATAAAGGTGGAAACTTTGTTTTACCCCTTACATCTTTTTTTTCATGTCCTACACATTTCAAATGATGTAAAGTAAATTTTTGGTTCCCCATTTTCTGATAATTTCCTTCTACTTTTTGTCAGTGTTTCTGTTGAGTTAATTTGCAGTCTCAAAAGCAAAAAGCCCATTTTCTTTTATTTCTTTATATTGCATTTCGACTGGATCACTTCACTTGCCTCTCGATCAAAAGCTTTTTTTGAAATATGTGGGCATCCATGTGTTGAAATTTCTTTTTCAATATTTTGTAAACGTTTGTGTTTGTTGAAGATTTGTGTGACTAAATAGGACTGAATTTACCTGCAGCAATCAGTTTTCTTTTGAAATGCTTCAATAACACAAAGATATTGTGACCATAAAGGACTGATGAGAGAAATACACTATGAATCCCTTCTGTTGGAAAAAACAAAATCTTTTCTTCACATTTGAGCATCAAAATTTTGACCTATCTTAATCGAGGACCACATGGAAGTCTCAGAAGTGACTTCTGAGACTATTTCCTTGTTTTAATTCAATTCCCAGATGTTTCTGCTATTTATTTTTAGTTTTGTTTTTTTTGTGTGAAGTGTTAATCACTGTACAAATCTCCCCTTGAGTTTTTTTTCCCCTTCTTTTTGTTTTGATCTCATATTTTTATGTTCTTTTGATATTCTGGGAGAAGGCTTTGTTATTGCATCCTTCACCCATCCATCTACCTCACTTTTTGTTTTGTCCAATCTATTGTATAAAACACAAAATATGTCATCTCAGCTGTTTGATCTCACTGGGTGCTGTGTAAAGGTCAAATTCAAACCACAAACCAAACCATTGTGGAAGCAGACTTGGGGTTTGGACTCATCAAACATTCTTTATGAGAACTTGATCTTTTTATATGGAGATGCTGAACAAATATCAGCATCTTTGCTGATATTTTTTTGTCTTTATTGGGAGAGCTTCAGCTGGCTAACAGGCTCTTTTTGGGGGTTTGTATTTGCTGATTCAAGTGAAACCTTAGTGGAATGCAACCTGAGGTATGAGATGGTTTCACTGGACCATTTTCCTCTATGACACTACATTGTCTTTCATTATATATTCCTAAGTTGTAGGTTCTTTCTGCCCAGCAGCTGTTCCCACCATGATTTGATGACTGTAAGTTGAAGAAATGTCTCTATGAGAACGCGCTTTATCTAAAAGCAGACCTGCGCTATATTTTATCAAGCTTCCTGTTCTGTCCTTTCTCAGCCAGTTTGTTTGTGGTCTGATTTTTGCCAGCTTTTTCATTTTAATGTTTTTCTTCCTGTTGCCACTGGAACACCTCAGATAAAAACAATCAAGTTTTTGTTTCTCTTCCCAACTCATCCCTCACTTTTTATATATATATATATATATATATATATATATATATATATATATATATATATATATATATATATAATATGTTACATTGACAGTTTGTTACATTTATTTTAAAATATGTAAGTTATTGATAGCCTTCCAAGTCCTGGATTTCTGTTAAACCGATTGTTTGGACTGATGTTGCATTTTGGTTTTTCTTTTGTACATGCTGTTGTAAGATTTTTTTTCTTATCAATATATTACTGGGATAAAATGATTGGCTGAAGGAAAAGAGAATGTCTATTTCCTTGTTCTTTTTTTTTTTCTACACAAAATTTAAGATGAATTAAAAAAATGTATGCAACTTGTGCGGCATGTCTTCATTTGATCCCGTTTGAACTATTTTACATTGACAAATGGTAGACCTGTTCAGGATACCCGGAGATTGCTGGAGGTAGACACCATCCTCCTTACAATAAATATAGCCGATGGATGCTTTAGCATACTACCTGGGAGAATCCATCAGCAGGAAAATCATTGGTTTTAAACTCCATTAACCTGGCACCAGGTCTCTGGAAAACATCCTCACACATTAGAACAAACGGCCTCATATGTTAGATCATAGACAAAATGCCCTTGAACTCACTATTGCCATGGTGAACACCCAATGGTTGCAGCATCATACTGTGAAGATGCTTTTCTCCATCATGAATGGCAAACCAGACCAGAGCTGATAAGAAGGATAAAGCTTTAAGGCTTCAAAAAACATAACCTTAACACATGCAGCCAGAACTACAGAGAAATAGTATAGATCAAAGTAAATTATTGTCTTAGAAAGCCCTAGTCAGTCAGTACATAGTGTTGTGAAAAAAAATTATTTCCAAGCAGATGTTAACTGATAAGTTTCCCACAACAATATATTCAATGAAAAAAAAATATTTGGCTAGATATAAAAATTGATATTCACATATGCTCTCTGTCTGATCTGACTGAGCTTAGGCTGATTTTCAAAGAGAAATGGACAATAGTTTCAGCCTCGAGATGTGAATAGTGGAGTGAGTCCCATCACAAAAGACAGCATTAATTGCAAATATTGACTTAATGAGGTTGAACATAGATGCATACCTTACTACTTTGTATTGCTCTATTACTTAAAATCCCGATAAGATAAGTTGAGGTTTCTTGTAAAGTGGTATATACGTTGCCGCTTTCCAACCACTCTTTGTAGTGCAGTTCGGTTACTTACCAGTTGGGGGCAGCAAAACCCCAGCGGTGCCATCTCGGCCTTGAAATGAAAGAGAGAAGAATCTATGCAGTGACGCAGGTTGTTTACGACATATGATTGTTGCTAACCTGGAGCTTCTTATTCGGATATTTAGCTCTTCCAGGGCTCACAGCTTTCTTCCGAGAGATGACGAGACGCTGGAGGCCAGTTACAGTGTCTAGTGCTGACTGTGGTCTCCCGTTACTAAGGTACATTATTTTTGTTTTAAACTTTATGTTCTGCTAGTCACCAATTAGCAAAGTGGCTATTGCAGGTCACAGATCTGACTTGTTTGTGCTAAAAAGGGGAACAGCAGGCAGGTCCTACATGCATCATTAACCTTTTGTTGCTCTGTTTAGCCTTATAGATACTCGTGGCTCTTACTCAAAACGACTACAAACATAAAATGCAATCTGGCCACATTACTGCATGCTTTTCGATGGCAGGGGTGTCGAATTCCAGTCCTCAAGGGCCACATCCTGCAGTTTTTAGATGTGCCACAGGTACAAAATACTGGAATGAAATGACTTAGTTACCTACTTCTTGTGCAGAGGCCTGCTAATGACCTAATTATTCTATTCAGGTGTGCTGCAGCAGAAGCACATCTAAAAATTGCAGGGCAGTGACCCTCCAGGACTGGAGTTTGACAGCTGTGAGTGACATTACTCACAAGAGTAATGTGCAGGTGCCTCTCAGCGAATTTGAATAGCATCTAAAATTGCTTTTATTTCAGCATTTCATTTCAAAATGAAAATTATATTATTTGAATTTGTTGCACAGATGGCTAGATTTTAAGCGGAGTTGTTTTTTGTGTTGATATAATGTGAAAACTTAACCTATTTTGTTACACTTGATGTTTAATATTATCAGACACACCTTCCCAAAAGTTATGTTTTTTTGCTTATGCTAGTCCAGAAAATATTTTCCATAAAGTTTCATCGTGGTTTGCTGGAATCCCGAAGCCTTATAAAAACTCTACAACCTCTTCC